TCCACCTGTCCTCTTCTCCATTCCCACAGAAGCAGGATGCCGACTCTCACCATTACTCCCAAATCCTTGCGTTAGAGTGGGGAATTGGAAAACGCTGGCTTAAAGACCATTCAATGAAGTGGTTTTCCCCAGAACTTTCCAGAGCCCTTAGAGCTGTCAAAACCCAATTGTCGTCATTAATTCTAACCGTGGCAGCACTAGGAGCGTCAGAGTCGAACTGTGTTCCATGGGGTTTAATTTGGGGGGAATAGATTACTAGGCTTTTCTTCCGTGGTACCTCTGTGAGTAGATTCGAACCCCCATCCTTTCAGTGACCACCGTGCAGTTCTCTACCCAGAAACTCTCTTCCATCCTTGCGGGTCTCGAATTGTGTTCTTTTGCAATGTTGTTAGAGTTCTGGGGGCGGTGGGGGAAACGTATGAAGGGGCAAGACCAGGTCTGTAGGGTGAATGAAGGGGTTTCCCAGTGGGATTCTCCTAAGACAGCTCTCACCACCCTTAGAGAATAAGCAGGGATACTGCTCTGATGGCCAGAAAATCCCTCGGAGCAACTTTCCTGACCTTTGCCCAGTGATGCATGTCCCCATTTCCTTACATTTCTCCATGGTAAGCCCCATGATCATCATAAGCCCCTGCCTGTGACCCCCCACTCACTCACTACGCCCTTCTGAGCTCATCCCTGCATTTGAATGAAATAAGCAGATCCCCTCAGGACCCACCGTTTTGATTGGACTCACCCCTGCCCTTTTTTGGGAAGGCACCATAATGAAATTAGAGTCCAGGTGTGGCGCTGTGGGCTAATGCGCTAGACTGCAAAGCCGTTTGAACTGCAAGGTCGGTGGTTCAAGCTCACCAGCCACTCCTTTGGAAACCCTACACAGGATTGCTATGGGTCGGAACAGACTTGACGGCACTTAACAACAATAATGAAATTGGGAATCCTGGGTGTGGTGCTGTATGATAAGCACTTGACTACAAAGTTGGTTTGAATTGCAAGGTCAGCGGTTCAAACCCACCAAGTCGTTCCTCAGAAACACTATATATGGTCGCTAAGAGTACCAACTCGCAGGCTTAACAATAATGAAATTGAACAGACAGCCTGATGGTGCACTGGGTTAAGCATCAGACTAATATCCCAAAGGATAGCAGGGGTTTGAATCCACCACCTGCTCCATGGGACAAAGACGAGGTGTTGTTAAGCACCATCAAGCCAGTTCCAACTCACAGCTGCGCTGTGTAAGGTTTCCGAGGAGCAGCTGGTAGGTTTGACCAGCTGCCATTATGGTTAGCAGCCCCGTGCTTACTCTGCAGCATCACGCCAGGACTCCCCTATAAAGACTGCAGCTGTTATGTGCTGTTGAGGAGTTGGTTCCAACTCATAGCAAGCCTGTACAGGGTTTCCAGGGAGTGCTGGGGGAGTGAACTGCCAACCTTGTGGTCAGCTGAAGACAAGAGTGAGGCAGGCAAGCCTGCAGTCTGGCAGACAAGAGGCGTTCCTGATGGGAGAACTGCTGCGTCCTGACGTGGTTTTCATCCTGAATTGTACCCTGTTCACGTCCCTGATAAACCCATCATCGTGAGTATTGTTTTGAGCTCTGTGTGGCCATTCTGGATGATTGAACCAGATGTGAAGCAGAGGGTGCTGTGGGGGGAACGGTTGGTGTCAGAATAGGGTCCAGACATGTCTGACCTCCATTTAAGAATCGTCCTTGGGCTGGTTTTGAGTCTGGATCTTTCTTCCTCGTGGAGTCGGGGTAAGTCAGACATGGTCTCCTCATGGTTTTAGCAGACCTGTTTACATATGTGTTGGAACAAAACCTGTAGCATGTCTGAACTGGAACCCTAGGGGCAAAGCCTGGTGAAACAATAGCACGTCTTAGCAGTTGAGTTTAATTTGGGGGGTGGATTTTGATATTTTCAAAGAGAAAGTGTATTTTTAAGAGCCCTGGTGGCATAACAGTTAAGCTCTCAGCTGCCAATGGAAAGACTGGTGGTTTGAAGCCACCCACCAATAGCTCCAGGAAAGATCTGTCCCCACACAGACGACAGCCTAGGAAGCCCTCCAGGGTCATGCTGCTGTCATATGGCGCTGACCGCATGGCATGGGACCACCAGCATATAGAGTGCGGCTGAAAAGTCATGCTCTAAGGAACCTGACATGAAGGAGGGTCTCCCAAGGTCACAACAAAGGTCTGGCTACGGATATGGAAATTCCGGAAAAGTGAGTGATTTGCCTACTGCACAGTGTTTGAGCCACTGGGTGAGAAGGCAGCCCGTCGTTATCCACCAGTGTAGTCAAGAACGTGGTCTTGCCCTCAGCTTCCATCAGATGACTGTTGTTAAATACCACTGAGTTAGTTCGGACTCCTATCAACCCTGTGTAAGGTGGCTGGTGGGTTTGAAGCCCCAACCTTGTGGTTAGCATTCCAGTGCTTATCCTACAGCACCACACCAGAATGACAGTGGTTAAAGTGGAACAGACTCTGGAGATCTGCTGGTGGCACAGTGCATTACGCATCAGGCTACCTGCAAAGTCAGCAGTTCAAATCCACCAGCTGCTCGGTAGAATAGTAATGCGTATCTGCTCCGTGTCGTAGCTGTCCTGTCCTGTAGGGTTGTTGAGTGTGAAGCCACTCATTGGCAGTGGGGGTTGAGTTTCTTCCTTTAAGGGATGGATGCAGCCAACTACAATTTGGAGACAATAGAACTCTTGTTGGTGAGTGCTGCTGAGTTACTTCCAACTCGTAGGACCCCGTGGGACAAAGCAGAGCTGTCTACTGTTCCCTAGACTTAAGGTTTACAAGCCATGGGTCCAGTTTGAATTACAGAGTTGACAAGGAATGCTGAGTATACCGTGGACCACCAAGGACTGGATAAATGTGTCTTACTTAGAGGCACAACCAGAATGCTCCTTAGAGGCGACAATGCTGAGACTTGGTCTCATTTTCTTCAGACATGATGCCAGTTTCCTATCTCTGGAGAACATCAAGTTTGGTAAAGCAAAGAGTCAAAGAGAAGACTTCAAAGTGATGGAACTGCTAGTTGAGCCTGTGCGTTTGTGTATATATGTTGTTGTTATGTGCCGTCAAGTCGGTTCCAACCCATAGTGACCCTGTATAGGATTTCCGAGGCTGTAAATCTTTACGGGAGCAGAGAGCCTCATCTTTCTCCTGCGGAGCAGCTGGTAGTTTCGAACTGCTGATCTTGTGGTTCATAGCCCAATTCGTAACCACTACGCTACCAGAGCCCCTTTGTGTGTGTGTGTGTGCGTATATAGATATATATATATATATATACGCACACACACACAAATGGTTAAGCTCCTTAATAGAAGCTGTTTTATATAAAAACATTTAAACATAAGTGTGAGAATAAATAAAACAAGGGATTCGTGACACACAAGATGAACAAATTTGGAAAGGCTTCAGTGAAATGAAGCAAGGAACCAGTCCTGGAGTGGGTGTTGGGGTGTGGGCCGGCACCTCTCCTGGAACGCGTGCTGGGGTATGGTTCAGTACCCTGGTTGCAGGGGTTCGATCTCTAATGCTGCTACTTGCTGTCAATTTGGAGGAATTTTCCAGGATTATGTGTGCTAAAAGTACTTGGCCCATAGCAGCTAAATCGTTTAGTGCCATCTAGTCAAATCCAACTCATGGGGTTTCCGAGCAGTGGTGGTGGGTTTGAACTGCCGAACTTGCAGTTGCATGCTGATCCACCAGTACGGCACACACCAGGGCTCCTGAACAATTAAACAATCAGCCCCCAGTTGAAGAGGAGGCAGTACAACATGGTGGGCAGTGTGGTGAGTTGCTCCTGATTTTGGGGGGGCATTTCTTCCCCACCAGCCCACTCCCAACACGACCACGATGTCATTCGAGACTTTGCAGCACAAACTTGGGAGCACTAACTCTGTCAGGCAAGGGGCTGGTTCCCATGTGGAGCCCACCAGCCTTCCTGATGATCCTCAGAGCACACAGGTGGAAGCCCTTCGGTATTCACACTCCCACCGCTAGAGGGCAGAGTCTGGAAAGCTGTGTAGTTAGGGGCTGCTTCCCATGTGGAGCCCACGGGCCTTCCTGATGAACCAACATCAGAGCACACAGGTAGAAGTCCTCCGGTAATTCACACTCCGGCTGATAGGGGACAGTGTCTGGAAGGCTGGGCGCTACAATGTCTGCTTAAACTTACCCTGGGTTTTCACCTCTTAGGGTGCATGTACTGTTTTCCCGTCAGAAGAAAACCATGTTCATTTAGAAGTGCTAACACACGTATGGAGCAAGCAAAACTAAAATGGGTTTTCACAGATGTCCCCTCGTGGATATGACTACTGCCTCCCAGTTCCCCCGTCTTAAGAAGCGCACAGACCACCGGCTTAGAAAGGAGCCCAGACAGGAACTTTATTTTAAAGCTCACAGGAAGCCCCACAATGTCAAGTCACAAGCGGGTTCACATTTCCTTCACAGGACAACGCACAACAGCAAGCGGCAGCGGAGAGAGGGCTTCTGTTCTGCATGCTGCGAACACATTTCACTAGCGTTGGCTCCACTCACTGAGTTAACGTCAAAGCAAAGAGTCCTATGCAACTGGAGAGAATTCATCTTAGAAAGCCCTTAGGGAATCAGTCATCTTGGGCAGAAACAGCCACACCCACACACATGCGGAAACGGAGAGCAGGAGGCAGGAAGCGACCTTGGTGGGGACCAATGCTCAGCGACCTCATCACAGCCCTCTGGAACACCAGCATGGCTCGTCCTCCTCCCAGAGACAAAGTCCGCCTCTGGGAGGTGAGCAGCCAGAGTGTACACACAGAGAAGCTTCGTATGAATTCACAATTCCACAGGAATCTGAAGTTACCAAGGCAAGGTCCCCTTTTAGGATCATAGAGACAACAGACGTAATAAGCTTTTGCTTTTCCAAATAGTACACAAAAACTTCTAAACATTCTTTAAAAAGAAACATAAGTGGTCTCAGTATGCCACGTAGAAGCGCATCGGACGGCCCCTAGTCCAAGTCCATGTGGATGGAGCTCTTCTCCTTGGAAGAACAGTCACCATTCGAATGAGGAGCATCAGCACCAAAGTGGTTTTTGCCTTCGACGTCATCTTCTTTTCTGTCTGTGTTTGGGCCATTTGAAGTTCTTTCCAGTTTGGGGGATTCAATTTTGGGTTTGGGTTGAGTGACGACAGGCTCACAAGCACTGTTCAATTCCTAAGAACAGAAATAAAACCTTTAAGTAGGTAACCGATTCCCTGTGATCCAATTCAACTTCTGACCACGTGACCCAGCAGTCTTCTACCTACTCCTATTATGCGTGTCGAAGAATTCTGTTTTCTCACCACACTTGTCTGAAACCAGAGCTTGAAGCCGGCTCAAAAGAACAGAACATACTATGACTTGTCAGGGGCAAGCAAAGAACCTGAGCATCCTCACACCATAAAATGTTCAAGGCAGCAATGATCATCCGTACCTGGGGAAGCGTGGAGGGTTCCGCATTCACTGCTAACCACAAGGTCAACAACTTGAAATCTTCCAGTTGTTCCATGAGGGAACTAGGAGGCGTTCTGTGCCCTAAAGACCGACAGCCACGGAAACCCTATACAGGGTCGCTAAGAGTCGGAGCTGACTCGACAGCACACCTCCGCTACTACCCTGTGAAAGGGGAAATTGGCCCCAAGAGGGTTTGGGACTTCCAGACCATAATACCAGAGGCCGAGAGCTGGGTGTGAAACCTGTGGGGTCTAGCTGAAAAAGCCCACTGTGCTTTAACGTGATTTTGCAGCAAAGCCGATTTTTGGCTCTTTTCCCGTCAAGCCTTGTACACTCACAGCAGGGCTGTCCTTGATGGAACACCTAGCTGGCTCTGCTGCCCAGAATCTCCTCAGCCGTTTCCCCAGACCTCATTCCAACCCACACCACCCGCCACCAGCTGCCACCGTTCAGGGAGTCTCCTTCCCCTAGAATCTAATCCGCTGGGATGGGATGTCACTTTGTAACCCGAACCCTAACCCCTAGACCAATACTCAACAAAGACATACGTTCCACAACATGAATACACGGGACTTGAACAGAGACTTGTGGACAATTGGGATGAGCTGGAAGTTTCACAGAAAACTGTCTCTAATTAAGGTTCAAGAGGCTGCAACTGGAGTCCAGAAGGAAACACAGCAACCAACACTCAATTGTTCTACGCACCTTCACTTTTGCTTTAATTTCCTGAGCGCGTACCACAGGATCCTGATCAAGACTCTTTTTCGCCTGAGCGTTCATGACGTTATTCATCCACTCCATCACTTCGTTAACAGACTTCTCGACCTTGCTCATTTCAGACTCATCGATGTGGTTGTATTTCTCATCCTGAAGGAAAGAGTACGGTCAGTGTCTCGGAATCAACTACACACACAGCACCACCTCACCGCCTCAAGCGCAGGCCAGCGTGGACACTGCGTCCGAGGAGACCCGGTACCTTGGCTCGGAAGTCGGCTGCGATCTGGGCAAAGTGCTGCAGCCGCTGTCCCAGCTCTTCCAACAGCTTAGGCCGTTCTGCTGCTTCTTGAAAGCGGACTTTAATTGGAGAGCCAATTTTCTACAAGAAAACGAAACAAATGAGCAGTTATCATTACCGCAGTCCCAAACAAGGGGCCCTGGTGGCACAACTGGATAAGTGCTAAATGTCTGACCACTGCCCCCAGGTCCTGGCTCCCTTAGAGATAGCAGCCAGGACACCCCACAGGACAGCTCTACCCTGTCGCGTAGGGTCACTAAGAGTTGAAGGAGACTTGTCGGCACCCAACATAATAGCCTAAACTGGGGCAGACTGTTAGTCTGTACCCCCCAACCTCTGCGTGAATGAGAGCAAGATGGGGTGATTCCGGTTGTCCAGAATCACCTCCCTCACTCAAGTCTGTGAGCAGAGAACTGAAGTGTACTCCTCCCAGGAGAGAAGAGCCGGAAGCACACTGGGAACCGCCTGTTGTTGCTGTGTGCCATCGAGTCAGTTCTGACTCACAGCCAGCCTGTACAGGGCTTTCCAAAGAGCAACTGGGGGGGGGGGTACGAACTGCCAACCTTGCTGTTAGCAGTCCAGTGCTTGTACCACAGCACACCAGACACCTCCTAGACCCAGGAAAAGAGCGACGCCAGGCCATGGAGATCTCTGAGGAACGCCTGGCCCCCCTCAGATGTTGTCCAGTGACAAGGACCTTCCAGAGCTGAGACAAAGTCTCCACTCAGAGCCAGTGTCCTGAACTTGGACTTCCAGCCTTTCAAAGTGGGAGGGCACATTTATTACAGTCCACCACGTGTCTTCCTACTGTAAGGCAGGGGAGGGGGCCTTACCATTAGCTCGGCCAACTTGTCCACGTACGCTTGTTTCGATTGGTCTTCTCCTTCTTCATACAGCCAGTCCTCAGTCTCTGTGAGGAGTCTCAGAAAATTCTGATGATCCTACCGGTGAGAGACAAGAGCTGTGGCCATCTTACCTCACACATGTCCACCGCAAACCAAGTGTCCCGCCCCAGAAGTTAGGTATTTGACTTGCGAGTGAGGGCACCCCAATCCCATGATACTCCCTACCAGCTGGCAAGGAACAAGCTCATGACTCTTTATTAGTTCAGCCAAATCTCACATGAGAGGCCAACAGCGCTGTTGGTGTGCTCATAAGGGACGTTTCAAAGGCTTGGTAAAATGATGAAATCACTGCTGTTAGCTACTCTGATAGTGTACCACACAATTACAATTCCGGTCAACCCACACATCAAAAGATGGTGACGGAACAATGTACTTGTTACCCCAAACAACTTGGCCCTGAAAGTAACTTGTTATTTATTCCCATAACTACTGAATGCCAAAAAGAAAATGATATCCAAGACGACAAGCCCAAAACTGAACATCGAAAAAACCATTCCACACCAAGCCATTCAGAATTCACAGGGGCAATGTAACCTGCTTTGAGAGCCAAGTATCCCAAGGATCTTAGGGCTGAAAGAGACTGTTACTGATCTTTTTAAGTTCAGAAACTAATACTGAATTTTATCTAATCCGAGAGTTTTATCTAATTGCTTCTCGCGTCCTGGCTTTCAGCTTTTGGGGCCATCCTGGAGTCGAGCTCACTTTGGGGGTGAAGACCCGGGGCTCAAAGGGGCAAGCACTGGGAGGCCAGGATGGACAGAAACAAGACCGAGTGCAGCCCCAGGGCCCCAGGCACTTCAGAGGGGAGGTCAGGAGCGCTGCGCCCATGTATCCTCCATCTCTCCAGTCCTTCACCGGCCAACCCTGCCTGGATTCACACCAAGCCAAAATGGCGGTTTGGCATTCTTGGGAGATTTCAATCATATTCCTTTGAAATGTTCTTTGACTTTGAGGAACAAAAAGAAGTCTGAAGGGGGCAAGGTCAGGCTGTGGGGTGGATGGGATAAGGGTTCCCAATAAACTTCTCCAAGGACAGCCCTTGCCTACCTCTAAGAACGAGCAGGTGCACTATCACGATAGAGAACAATTCCTCAGTGAACTTCTCACCCATGCGGTCTTTCACTTTGTATAGACGTCTTTCTAAATAAGCTCCTGTAGTAATTGATCAAGATGACCCCAGTGGGATCCCAAAACAGTCTCCATTCTCCTGAGCTAACCTCTCTGACCTCTGCTGAACTGGCCCAGCAGACCACCTGGGAAGCCCATTTCCACTGGACCCTGCTCACTGGACTGTAGAGGTAAATCTGAGACTTGTTCCCAGGTACGATGTGTTCCAGGAAATCCCTAGAAGGTAAAAGATTGATGGAGCTCACTTCTCTGCGCTCGCTCACCTTCATGTGATGTTTTTGGCACCCATCCGGCCAAAAGCTTTCAGAGGCTAACAGGACACTTAGAACTGAAAACCCTTGGGGGGGACCCAACTTGAGTGGCTATCACACCCACGGTCATTCTACAGTTTTCTGCCACCACTTTTCTTCATCAACGTTGATGGTCTTCTCTGACTCGTCTGTGAGGTCTTTCTGACCATCCTTGAAAACACTTGATATGTGTAAAAACTTTTTATATGTGGGGGAGCATTCCCCTAAATTTGTTGCAAAATTTCACTGATTTGGGAAGATGTTCACTTGGATTTGAATGTTCAAGATATTAGCCCTGACTTCAAAAACTATCCTTTTTGTGCTGTGGGAAAAAATATTGTTTTTAAGAAGGCATTTATGAGACAAAAACAAAAGTACAACAGAGAGCTTGTCCCCAGCCATCCACTAGCCGCTGAGACGGGCTGAAGATGCTTTGTTTGCAAAAAACCCGTGTGTGTGTGAACGGGACACAGACTGCCAGGAGCAGTGCCCTGTCACTGTCATAACTGTGGTGCCACGGACTCTGAGAACGTGTTTGATGGCCGGATCTTCCATGGGGGTGGTAGGGGGTGTGTGTGTGCTCACAGCTCACACCACTTCTGCCACACCCAGTGTTAAATCATTTTGTGTTTTGAGAAGGTTCACGTTACCCTTACCCGCCAACTAAAAAGTCAACTTTGATCTTGAACTTTGTGTAAGAGACGATCAGATCACCACACCAAGAGCTGAGCGCCCACCTGCTCACTGATGAACTTCTCATAGGGGCCACACAGCTTGTCCCGGAACTCATACACATATTCCTCCACCGCATTTTTAGCGTCGTTCCGTTCTTTTTCCAGCTTATCCTGCATTATCATCTTACCCTGTTGGGAACCAGGAAAAGAGCTTATTCCGGCACTTAACACCGAATAAACGTTAACTTGCGTTTGTTACTCAACCACGATCGTATTGACAGTTCTTGTGGTAGCTCATAAAACTCGCCAAAGCCTACCGAGTTTTGTTTTCTAAATACCCAAGTAGAGACTGCTTTTCAAACATGTGAGGGGACTTCAAAAAAATGATGGAAAAGTTACAACTGCTTTTAATTCCCTTTTCCCAAAACTTTTCAAGTCCCTTCATACAATAAAAATTAAGTTTTCACACTTAAAATTAAAAGAACTATAAATCAATCCACTGCTTCCATGTCATCTGTTTGCATGAAGGCCACAGTTCTCTCACCCAGTGCAACACCGGCCAGTGCACACCAGTCACAACCAACTGACACATTTTTAAATAAATTAACTATAAGGCAAAAAGCCGTTATCTTTTTAACATTTCTCCATAAGCTTTCTGAAGCCCCCCCCCCTTTATTGTATTCTGCGCTGAAACGCCTAGATCTCCAATTTCTTCACAAGAACTTGGACAATTTTCACCTACTAGAGTGATCTATTCTGGTAGTGTAGTGGTTACGAATCGGGCTGCGAACCTGAAGGTCAGCAGTTCGAAACTACCAGCTGCTCCGCGGGAGAAAGATGAGGCTTTCTACTCCCGTAAAGATTTACACCCTCGGAAACCCTGTACAGGGTCGCTATGGGTCGGAACCGACTCGACGGCACTTAACAACAACAACAGAGTGATCTATGGCCTGAATCCCTTTAATAGGAAGGTAAAAGCATTAACAAAATTCGGTCCAAAGTTAAAGTGCGAAGTCCACTTATTTCACTCTGGCTTCATCCCATCCCATCCCATCCCATTTTGAGCTATGGCACAGAATGACAGCCTAGCCAGTTACCTGATGGTTTATAGGTAGTACGTTACCAAGGACAAAAGAGCGAGCAGATTCCCAAACGAGTCCTTACCTCGGTCTCAATGTACAGATTCAGAAGGTCCTTCCCCAACTGCCACACCAGGCTGGCCTCCACGGGAAGCTCCACATTCACCACCTTTATTTTAGGCTTTTTGGCTTCTGGAGGCTGGTCAACTTTCTTTTCACTTGCCTTGGAAAAGCAAAAAAAATAAAATAAAATAAAAACTGGGGGTTCTTAAAAACTCCATGAAGGAAATTAAATAAAAACTATCTCCCTATAATGGAGGCCTAAGTATAGCTGTAAAACTGCTAACATGTGAAGCTAGAAGAGCAGGTCAGAATACCGAATCTCCACCTGCCCACACCAATCCAGGCTGCAACAAAATCCATCCCTGCCTTCAGGAATCCTTCAGGCTACTTTTCTTTACCTCTCTGAAACTTTAAAACATAATCTCTCATGCCAAAGGTCATTGGTGTTTATTTTCTAATCCATTTAAAATTAAGTTTGTGACCTCTGATGGTCTCTTCAAATTATCCCCATCTTTGAATGACTAAGTCTAGAATCTGACATTAAGTTAAAAGCAACTGTGACAAATGGTAAAAACATTAGGAAAGATTAACCCAATTCCTATTATACATACATGGATACTCCCTAGTCCTGGGCTAGCATTGTAGGATAAGCACTGGACTGCTAATTGTAAGGTCTACAGTTCAAACCCACCAGCTGCTCCTCAGAAACCCTATTCAGGATTGCCATGAGTCAGAAGCACTACACACTTCTGGAGTCCTGGCGTGGTGCTGTGGGACAAGCACTGGACCGCTTACTGCAAGGTCGGTAGTTCAAACCCACCAGCCACTCCTCAGAAAGCACAGGGTCACTATGACCCAGAGGTGACCTGACGGCACTGATGCTACATTCTGAGTGTCCATCTGCATTTCTTATAAACAACTCGGCTAATAAAGAGAAAGTAAAATCTCCCAAATAGCAAAAGCTAATAATTCACTGTAAATATCCGAGTATAAACAAAGGGCTACAGAAGTCAATCACTATTTCGTTTTATGCTGTAAACTTTGTCTTTTCCATCCTGTGGGTTCCTATTCACATAAACAATATAATGTAGTTCAGAAGACTCTGCTACACCAGCAGACTGGATAGAAACCAAGGTCCAACGTGTTGGACTGACTGGATGATGGTAAAGTGGACAGACGGACGCTGGTCCCTAAGGCACAAAGGTCACAGCCACGGGATAACGTGGGTGAGCTGTTAGCGCTCAGCTGCTATCGCAAAGGTTGGTGGTTTGAACCCAACAGCCGCTCTGCTCCCAGAGACTCACAGCTTCGGCAACCCTCGGGGACAGAGCGACTACGACCCCGAGGGTCATGATGAGTTGGAATGGACATGTTGGCAACAGGATTGGCTACAATGGCTGTTAAAATTCTAAGCACTTCAGATAAGAAATCAGAACTCCCAGAGGGTGAAAGACTTGTTTAACATTCGGCCCACAGAGCAGGAGCAGGGCCCAAGTAAACCAGCCAAAGACATGCCTGATGCCAGCGGCCTCTGGTGCCCTCTTTAGTGCACACAAGATCCTGCCTGACAGTTGTCTTGCTCTCCAACATCTGGTGCACGCTCTACTGGAAAGAAATTCAACCTGCTGACACCTACACCCTGCAAAACACAGGTGGGCGACAGATGTCCAAGGCACAAACAGCCTCTAAGGCAGGCAACGGGCAGCGTAGTCAAGGTAGGAGGGTCTGCTGGTACTATTTGGGAAAGAACCAGCACATGCCACAATGGCACCTGCACTCGGTGTGAACTAGGTTCCTCCCCAGCAGTATGAGAGCACTCACTCCTAGGGCTTACCGCCAAGGAGCCAACCGACCCCAATGGCAGAGTCAGGAGGAGTGAGGTTGAAGATGTGTGGTCACCACCTGAAAGAAAAGCGTGCAACACCCTTGCCACTGAACTCCAACGGGAGAGAAACTAGCAGGCAAAACACGGCGGAGGACTTCCAAAAGTTTGTGGATAAGTGGAAGGGAAAGACAATGGAATTTGTCCTTGAACTTTTAGAAGCCCCCTCGTGTCAGGACCCCCACAGGGCCAATCACAGCGTGGTAAATGAAAAACCGGAAGCTTCTTTTCTTTTTTAACCTGGTGAAAATGTACACTGGCCCCCAAAGAACACTGGAATTCACCTGAGTGCAGAGAACCCTGTCTTCAGAATGTATGACGAAAACCAACCCAGCAGCTACTGACTAATAATTACCATGTAACATCCACGGGGAATACAGTTCAGCACAGCGCAATGACACCCGGAAACTTCCCCAGACACCTGTCTGAGCACACATTGAGAACATTGGTTCTCAAGTTGTCACATTTCAAGGGACAAAGCACTGATACGTAATTACGCTGCCAACACACGTACTGGGGAGCCATGACTTTGATATACACCCTGGCTGTTACCAGATGATCACGGTTAACATACTTGTGTCTGTCTGAGACATAACGTCTCTCCTGAGCTTGAAGAAAGTTCCCCAGGCTTGGACAGCGCATGAATTTATCACCGCTCTGGTAGCGTAGTGGTTACGAATCGGGCTGTGAACCTTAAGGTCAGCAGTTGGAAACTACCAGCTGTTCCGCGGGAGAAAGATGAGGCTTTCTGCTCCTGTAAAGATTTACAGCCTCGGAAACCCTGTACAGGGTCAGTATGAGTTGGAATAGACTCAACAGCACATAACAACAACATTCCAAGTGGAAAAGGAGAGCTAGTAGCACAGTGGTTATGAATCGGGCTGCTAATCTCACGTCAGTTCTAAACTACCAGCTGTTCCACGAGAGTAAGATAAGGCTTTCTGCTCCCGTAAAGATTTACAGGTTCGGAAACCCTGTACAGAGTCACTATGAGTCGGAACCGACTCCACGGCACATAACACTAATTCCAAGTAAAAAGGAATCCCATCGCTGAGACTGCACCGAGTTGTACCGCTAACATTCATTACAAATAGCGCAGCCTCGTCAGGAGCCTCGTGGTGTTTGCCGTGGATGTGTCCTGCTCTGATGGGCCACGGTCAATCCCCTTACTTGATCGCCAGTACCTCCACCTGGTTTTAGGTGAGACACACCCACAGACAAGGAACCGAGACAAGTCCTACGAAGAGTAAGCTGGCGCTTGGCCCTGGAGGATGTGTGGAGTCCATGACATTACTGATCACACCGTGCAACGCTGTCTAATGAACACTGGAAAGTCACTGACCTTGTCGGCGTCGGGGATTTTGTTTTCTTCGGAGCTAAGTTCTGGTGGAGGGGGTGTCTGGGAGGTGTGTTGGCCATCAGTTTGTACCTGGGGCTGTGTTCCGGCTTCACTGCTCTCTGGCTGGACATTTCTCTGAAAGGAAAGTCCAGGCACGAAGGATGTAGAAAGCAGCCGTACTTGCACATGATGAAAAGTCAGAAGGCACCAAAGACGGCACCCTCAGTTCTGAGATCCCAACACAGGAGCTCTGGTAGCGTAGTGGTTACGAATTGGGCTGTGAGCCGCAAGGTAAGCAGTTCGAAACTACCAGCAGTTCCGCGGGAGAAATAAGAGGCTTTCTGCTCCTGTAAAGATTTACAGCCTCAGAAACCCTGTACAGGGTTGCTATGAGTCAACACCGACTCCACGGCACATAACAAAAACAACAACACAAGGCTGAAAGCAACACAAAATACTTCTCAACCATTTCTTTACCATGTAAGAAATGCTTTGAAGAACAGCATTATGTGACACGGAGAGGCAGCTGGAGGATGAAGTGGCATCATGCCCACTCAGCTTACTGACAGGACCCAGCGTCTCCCTCAGGCCTGGCCCCCAGAAACACGGTGGCAAGGCCTAGGCACCAGCAGCCACCTGGCGTCCTGAGACTTGGTTCTACTGCAGTTTACTCCAGCGGTTAGCTAAGAACAGAAACTCCACTCAGAGGCCTTGCAGACAGTCTCTGTCCCCACTTCCTCTGCGTGCTCTACCAAGACTTCAGGGCATACAGTGTGCCACACGGTCACACGGTTCTGAGGAGGAAGACGGAAAAGGATCCCTCCACACTTTCCGATTTTCCTCTTAGGAGCGTTCAATCCCAAGCAAGTAGCTGCTGGCTCTGACTTTGCATCACCGAAAACAAACTACTTTCTGCCCATTTGTTTTTCTTGCTCATTTGTTTTTTTCAAAGCCTCAAGATCCCATGACAGACATGGAAGAGATTTACAAGCAAGACACTTGTGATATACACGTGTGTGTACATGTATGTATGTACATATATGTCCTGGTGTGGAGCTGTAAGGTAAGCGCTAGACAGTTAACCTCAAGGTTGCAGTTCAAACCCACCAGGCGCTCCTTGGAAACTCATACCAGTCTCTTTGAGTCGGAACCGACTGTTATCTGTCATTTCCATTTTTCCATGAGTTTTTTGCAGCCCCTCGTGTAATGTCCCCAAAACACACTAATGAATTGTCACTACTTTTTCTGCAGCCAACTGAGAGGACAGGGGGTGCTGGCCACATGACTCATGAAGGTGCCTTGAGGCGTTTTTCTAGATGAGCACTAGACGCAAGGTCACAAGGTTCATGCTGCGGCCTGACGTGGGGATGTGGACATGGGGATGTGGACGGGAGCTCACATGATGGCACCTGCCCCACTCTGCTCTCATCTCCACATCCAGCTGACGCTGGGAGTCCCCAGAGCCTATTGTCATGGCTGATCCATGCTAACGCTCCCCACCCAACTCTGCTGACCACCTGGAGCGAACACACACTCGTGACCGCAACAGCTCTCTCCTTGTCGCTCGCAGCACTTTCTCCTGTATCAGTTACGAGGGCTTCAAAAACGTCATTAAAAAAACAAAAAAATGGAACCCTTTGCCCACAAACTTGTGAAGTCCCTCTCATCTGAAGCCTGGTGGGGGAAGTACCCGGCTGGCTTCCTTCCCTTCTCCCAGCTTCACCCCAGGGAAATAATAGTAAATGCAAGGAGGTTTCAAATGATTTGTGGCAAAATTCCATTCTCTCACGAACTTTTTGACAGTCCCTCCTAAGATATTCTGAAATACTGATGCCAGTTTTGCAATACAATAAATGATAAATAAATCCACGTTAATATTCGGTAGCTAGCTCACCAAACAGAAATAGGCTGTGCAAAGGAGCAGCCCCTCCTAGTTCCAGCCTCGTGCCCTTTGATGCAGATTACGCTCGCTGCACTTTCCAAGATGTGTTTACCAGCGATCAACTTCACTGCCCAAGGAGCCCTGGGGTGGTGCTGTCGGCTAAGCAAGAGACGGCTAACGATAAGGTCGGCGGTTCAAACCCACCAGTTGCTCCTTGAATATACTATACAGGATCACTGTGAGCTGGCCCTAATGGTGCTTGACTCACTGCCCACAATTCTGATCAAAGAGCTAAGAAGAAAAACCCTTGTCCTAGAGCTCAGCAGTTAAGTCAGCAGGATGTCCTAGTGCAGAGGGGTCAGCCACCCACTTACATCACCATCTGGGTTTTCTGTGGGGCGCTGGCTTGGACACTCCACGTCTGCTTCCACAGAGGACGCCTCACTCTCCTCGATGGGGACCTTCTCCACCATTGACGCCGTCGACACGGTGAAGATGCCGTGGGTGTTGATCCGCACCTTGACCTTCACTTTAGATTTCTCTCCATCTTTCTGGGAGGAAACGTTCTGAACTACGAAGCGGCCTGGGACAAAAAGATAAGCGCCGTTTAGAACTCCGTAAGTCCAGCTGTAGGGCTGTGGGCTAATGCATCAGACTGTAAAGTCGTTTGAACTGCAAGGTGTGTGGTTCAAGCTCACCAGCTGCTCCTTGGAAACCCTATACAGGGTTGCTATAGGTCAGAGTCAACTTGACATCACCTAACAAGAAGCAAGAGTAGACCTTAGTCTACTAGGAAACCAATCTGAGAGCACTGCTTTTCTAGAACCTTCATCTTCTCCCCACTCGACCTGGTCTGCATCTTTTAATGTGTACCGTAAACGTTCCTAAAATACGAAAGGGCTTTAGAAAGTTCCAAGACAAACCCCATCATCGTTCAATTCCATTATTCCAGGGAGACCCCTCGCATACTGCCAAGTACGGAGTACACTAACGACTTGCTGGATTGAGCCTTCATAAACCCTGAAGACCTCCAGAGCACCTGAACCACACACCTCCAGTGAAGGCAAGCCTGCGCCCTACAGCCAACTCCCTTCAGCAGTGAGCACGCTCTGGCAGGGGGCCTGGTCTTCTGGCAGAATCACCTCAAGGCTGGAGCCCATTTTAATGGGGGAGGTGCCCCAAGAGGCTCAAACAATGCCAGAGACGACCTGGGAACAAATAGCGGTTGCAGCACCTCATAAGGGCATGGTTAAGAGGGCCAACTCTAGAAGCCACCAGGGCAGAGACTGGGCTACCCGAGCTGGCTTGGTGGCCTGCAGTATACTGTCACCAGGGCACGGCATTCCTGAGTTAGGTTCCAAGAGCCCTTAGTCTAAGTAAGTGGTTTGAACCAATGATGTGAAGAGCACAGCTGGGGTTTATCAGCCTTGGATTCAGAGTCCTGTCCACATAGGGAAAGTGGGAGCACCAACTCCCAGAGATCACTGAGATGCTGGAAACAGACCATGAGCAAGAGTCAGAGCCTTCGCTTCAGAAATGATGTCGTAAGGGCCATCGGGACAGAAACCACCTACCCTGGAGAACCCACGACCATGCACGGTTCTTAAGAATACAGACAGGTCCTTGGTTTAGGTGGCACCATGGAAATGACATGCAGTGCCAGAGACTGATAGTACCCGCTACATGACGGGAAATAACAAAGACACCAACCTACCCAGACAGCCTACATCGAACCATCTGCCAAACGAATTACCGCTCAACAAATTCCTGGATATTATTAGAAAATGAGAAAACTCTCTGGTTCACAACATCTAGTCTGTTTGTTGTTGCTGGGTGTTGTCCACTGAATTATAACTCACAGTGTCCCCATGTGACAGAGGAGAACTGCCCACAGGTTTCCTAGGCTGCCATCTATTGTGTCACTATATACTCGTATATACTCTTATATATCATCCACTCACAGTGCCCCCTGGTGTAACAGAGTAGAACTGCCCCACAGGGTTTCCTAGGCTGTCATCTATTGTGTCACTATATACTCATATATACTCTTATAGAGCATCCATTCACAGCAACCCCTGGTGTAACGGAGTAGAACTGCCCACAGGGTTTCCTAGGCTGTCATCTGTTGTGTCACTATATACTCGTATATACTCTTATAGATCATCCACTCACAGCGCCCCCTGGTATAACAGAGGAGAACTGCCCCACAGGGTCTCCTAGGCTGTCATCTATTGTGTCACTATATACTCATATATACTCTTATAGATCATCCACTCACATCGCCCCCTGGTATAACAGAGGAGAACTGCCCCACAGGGTCTCCTAGGCTGTCATCTATTGTGTCACTATATACTCATATATGCTCTTATAGATCATCCACTCACAGCGCCCCCTGGTGTCACAGAGTAGAACTGTCCCACAGGGTTTCCTAGGCTGTCATCTATTGTGTCACTATATACTCGTATATACTCTTATAGATCATCGGGAGCCCTGGTGTGGTGCTGTGGAATAAAGCCCTGGACTGAAAGGTCGGCTTGAACCACAAGGTCAGTGGTTCAAACTCACCAGTCACTCCTTGGAAACTGTCTACAGGATTGCTGAGTCAGAACAGACTTGTAGGCACTTAACAACCATCGGCAACTCATCATACCCCTGTGTGACAGTGTAGAACCGTCCTGGGGGAAATGGTCCTAACAAGATATACCTCTGGGACAGACAAGTGCTCTGAAGTCAGTCCCATGGCCCGAGGAAGGTCTTAAATGGAAACTGTCATCCCTCAAGTGACACTTCACCTGTACAAAAGCTTCCTGTGGAGGTGAGCCGCTGATGTCACCACACTGAAGCAGGCCCAAAAACCACCCCAAGGTGATGCCAGCTAGGGTGCAGTCAGTTCTAGGATGACCAGTCAGCTGGAGGGGCATTTCCCAGGGGTTGGGGCCTGCTGCTGACGTACTTGCCACAGAGCTTGTTTGCTCTTGGCTGAGTGTGGCTTTGCTTCTCCAGAGAACTCAGCCTGTCACATTTTCATCTCAAGCTCAGTGTCCTCGTGGACTAACTTGAAGCCATTTAAGGAGGCCTGGTAGTGCACTGGGCCCGCATGGCTGCCGATTCAAACCCAGCTGTCTGCTCCCATCAAGATGGACATTCTCAGAAACCTTAGGGGGCAGGTGCACGCTGTTCTCTGGGGCCACTATGAGTCATAATCGACTCAATGGCAGTGGGTCTGGGTGTTGTTCCAAATAGAGGAACATCTTCATGTGGAATGATGTTCTATTTGGGATTGTCGGGCTCAGCAATCAGTTCTGGGTGTGCTTCCTGAAGGACAAGCAAGCATGTCCCCCTTCAGCCTTTACCTATTTTTGCTTCTGGGTAGGGGACTCCTTGAGGATCTGAGTAGAAGGCTTCTAGCTCAAAGGGTCCTCTTCTCAGGAAGGTGAGGACCTTGGAGAACGGGGCCGAGTGGTGCCGGCTGAAGACCTCGTGAACGCTGCAGAGGAGAAGAAATAGGAGAGGCTGGCTGTCCATGTGAGTCATTGGTCTTGAGACAGGAAAGACAATTTCCACAACACAACAGCAAGCCGCACACTCTGCTCCTGCCTTTGTTCCCCGGGCTTTCACGGACCTCTGCTGTGTACTGGTCAGGCACTGGGCTGCTGACCACAAGGTCAGTGATTCAAACCCACAGTGACTCCGAGGCAGAAACATGAGGCTGTCTGCTCTGTGAAGACTCGCAATCTTGAGACAGAGGTCGGGGCACTGTGAGCTGGAATCCACTGAGCAGCAGTAGGTTGGGTTTTGACACGTTGGTGGTTTGATGAGTAAACCCAACCTACTGCCAGCCAAGCCGATTCTGCCTCACAGTAGCCCTGGACACAGAAAACAAGTGCCCCCAGAGAGTGTCCAGGCTGCCAGCGGTATGGCAGCCGACTGCCTCATCTTCTTCCTATGGAGCAGCTGGGGGGGGTTGGGGGGAGGGTCAAACCATCCACCTCTGGTTAGTGGCAGGCCGATAGCTAGCCCACTGAGCCACAAGGGCTCCTGGTTGATGGGGAGACAAACACCTACGTTTATCAATCTTATTACCTGTTACCTAACAAGTTATTTCCTGCTACGTACCCCTCGGTGTCTTCAGAACCGTGGTTCCAGAACAGAGATATCGGGAATGGGATGGCATCAGTGACAGAAAACTCTCTAACCTTGAAGGCTGGGGAGAGGATGGCACACTGGGAAGAGTACAAAGAGAAACAACCAAGTCAGCACGTGCCCCATGCTCGCCTGAACAAAGAACTCCAAAATGCAAGCTCAAATGTGTTTACAGTGTAGGACATGCCAGGGAGCCATGGTAGCACAGTGGGTTCTGCATCGGGCTGCTAACTGCAAGGTCAGCAGTTCAAACCCCCCAGCCGCTCCAAGAGAGACAGCTAAGGCTGTCTGTCCCGTGAAGGTTTAGAGTCTTGGAAACCCTAAGGGGACAGAAGGAGCTATGGGTCACTTTAAGTCGGAATGGAGTTGACGGCTCTAGTGTTTCATTTGGGATACGTAATCCCAAGCATAAACAACTTCTCACCTAAGTACTACACCAAACGCTACCTATAAAAGATCAAAGAACCTTAGGCTAAAACAAGCTGCTGCTGTCTCAAGTCCAATCTGACTCAGCGACCCTGTAGGGCCATATTTCTAGAGGCTTCCATGAGGGTTCTAGGCTGTCATCTTTACAGAAACAGACAGCCACATCATTCGCCCTCAGAGTGGCTAGTGGGTTCGAACCACCAACCTTATGGTACGCATCCCAAGACTTAACCACTGTACCACCAGGGATCCTATAGCCTTAGGACCATGGTGGTTAGCCAACAGGAAGTTTCCCAGGGGCTATGAGAACTACTGGACTCCTGGTATGGCTCTGTAGGATCAGCACTAGACTGCGAACCACAAAGTCACCAGTTCAAACCCACCAGCTGCTCCTTGGAAACTCTATACAGGGTTGTGATGAGTCAGAACTGACTTGAGAACACTAACATGGGAAGCACTTTCTCATTTCCAGAAGCGACCTGCTCATGGTGATTCGAGTCAGCATTATAGTCCTGCGTGTGTTCAAACGGGCACAAGATCGCTGCCCCCACTGTCGTTCTGACACCTGAGGGACAGACAAAGGGCAACACCCCAAATGCTCATTTACCATGTGCCCCTGTGGTTCTGAAGCACCGTAACCTCAGATATAATAAAACGAAATACTGGCTGGTTCTACGCCATCATCACAGAGCTGGTGGGATGATGTAATCGTTTTCAAATTAATTTCATGGATGAAAAAAGTGATGATCAATTCAAATTTGCAATAGGTAACTACCAAAAGACAAGTGAAGTTTCTGATGTAGACTGGGCGTACAAAAATGACTACATAGATAAACAGACCCAGCACGGGGCTGAAGTTAATCTCTTCAAAACAGGATCTTTCCAAGAAAAAGCCAAAATTACCTTGCTTGTTAAGTAGCAGTTAGACTGATAAACTTTCCATTTTTTCCAGATTATCAGCAAGGCATCCTCATGAAGGAAGAGTGCTCAGCCTTACCACCCCTATCTATAGGTGCTCCTGCTGTACTTTAAAGCCCTGCTAAGTAGACCAACAGGCAAATGGCTCAACTTGAAACCCATTTAACCTTGTCTGACTGACTGACTGCAGCTCCTACATGCAAGTCATTACGGTGTCTGATGTAGTGACGCCAAGTGCGCCCAGAGCAGGCTCAGGAGGCCATACCTGTAGAGCACAGCCACGGGCCACGGCTTCATCCGCGTTCAGCGTTGTGCTCACGTCCTTCCCAAAGAACCTGGCGATGGCTTCCTTCACAGCTGGGATGCGGGTAGTGCCTCCCACGATCTCAACAGCGCTGATGTCATCACCTTTCAGCTGTGTCTGCTCCATCAGCGCACGAAGGGGCGCGTCAATCTTCCGCAGGAGGTCAGCACACAGTTCCTCAAATTGGGACCTTGGCAGACAGGAGGAAGAGTTCCGTGAGTCTGTGGAAGAGAGAGCTAAAAGCCAGTGATCGTCTCTTGTTTTTCCAAAGTGAGCCTTAACAACCCCATGCGTCTCGTGGTTCTCTGAAGTGTGTGAATCCTGCACACGTTGACAAGTCTCTCACCTGCCCTTTCGTTTAACTGTACAATCAGACACAGTTCTCTTAGATGGTCACAAAGTCAGGAGAAGCCACCTTTACGTTCTTCAGATCCCCATTGACCACCTTAGTCTCCAATGTGAGCTAATTTTCATCGTTTTGAATAGAAAACCCAATTCCATCCACATCTCAAAATAATTCAACGAACCAATTATTTAACTGCTGCTGGGAACAGACTCACAGCAATCCCACGTGACAGAGTAGACCTGCCCCACAGGGTCTCCTATGAGGTCAAGTTTGATGGGAACAGATCACCAGGTCTTCCTGTTACAGAGCCACCGGCAGGTCAGCAACTTTCAGTGTACAGCCAAGCACTTAGCCATTGTGCCACAAAGACACGTAATGACTCAACTTTCGGCCCAGAATACTCCAAAGTGTAAAATACCGAAAGGCCACCACCATATGAGGGCCTTCAGCAAAGAAAGACACGTTCCACACCCTCTTTGCAGGCGGGCCCAGTCTACTGGTGGTCCCTGATGGCTTCCCAGGCCTCGGGCCATACCGGACAGCGCTGCGAAGCAGCCAAGACTCCCACCGAGCAGGGGACACACCTGTTCATCTTTCCCGACACGTCCTTGTCATCCATGAAGCACTCGATGTTTAAAGGGATATCCGTGCTGATAGAACTCATCAGCTTTTTCAGTTTCTCACACTCCTGATATAAGCGAAGCAGGGTTCGGATTTTGGATTTTGCATCCAAGTTGTACTTGGTTTTAAATTCTGCACAAAAGTGTTCCACTAACTTTTCATCAAAATGCTTTCCTCCTAAGAAAGGATCAAAGGCCGTTCCCAGGACCTAATTTAGTGAAAACAACAAAGAACTTGGTTATTTTCAATTAGGTTAGTAACTAGGATCTTAATCAGTACAGGAACAACTGAAGACCAATAAGGGCCAACATTTCAAGGAACCACAAAATCGAAGTCATTTAGAAAAGCCGTAACCACAAAATTCTAGTAGAATGTTAGGATCACCACAATATCTTGAAATTCTAAAGATTACGTGGGCGGCATCCTTACAAAACAAAAAAAAAAGCTTTTGTTTGTTAAGCAAGAACACATAGGCATGCCAAGACAAAACCGCGTCTTTAAGGAATGAACCTGAACAACGTCTTCATGGCCAAGAACAAGCATACGCAGGAGCTCGGTTACATCTTAAAGTCACCACAAATACAAGGGCGCTTCAAAGTTTGTGGGAACATGAAACTGAAAGATAATGGAATTTTCCTCACGTTGCATTGAAGCCCTCAGTTGTTAACATATTTAGTGTTGGTGGCCTGAATTCCAACGTGTGCTTTTTTACCTTCAATTTTCCCTTATTAAAGGCGCAGGCAGAAACTTGAAATGCCGAGTGTCCCATATCAACAAAAACCACGATCCGAGGTTTCTCATCCAGGCCTGGAAGGTCCTGCTTATAGATCCCATAATTCAGAGCCACTACAAAAAAACAAGCATGTTTCGATGATCTAGCCCATGTTTTCTTAGCACCTTCATTGCTACAATCACACGTACGGGAAACTTAGCTACATGAAGCCAGTAAAGACCTTCTTCCCTTAGACTCAGCTTCAGACCCATGACCTTCCTGTTCTGGGTTGAGAACCCCAGGCAGGCTCTAGGGACTCACAGCACATGAAAAGACGTGGAGATGAGCAAGACACTGGAGGGCAGCTTTACAAAGTGGGTGGGGAAACGCCGTATCTTTCAATTCGATCCTTCCACTAACTCTTCAAAAGCCTTTGTGTGGGCTGTGATTACAGCAGTGACCGGACTCACTACATCGGACTTACAATTCCACCACAACCTGTTGAAGACCGTGCATCCCGAGAAACGAAGTACTTATTACCCAACTATAGCTACTGTGAAACACTGGCAATGCTGTAGGGTAAGCACTGGAATGCTAAACACAGGTTGGCACATCAAACTCACCAGCTGCTACAAGGGAGAAAGAGGCTTTCTGCTCCTGTAACGATTCACAGCCTGGTCTTCTGAGTCGGACCCAACTCTACAGCACTGCAGTTGTTACCTTTTTGTTTTTAATTCCAAGATAAACATCTGCTCTATCGTTAACACTGGCTCTTAAGTGCTGCTGTGTGTGGTCTGACTCTCAGCGTGCCTGCAGAGGGCTTCTAAGGGCTCCTGTCATCTCAGGAGCAGAAAACCTCTTCTTCCTCCTGAGTAGTGGCTGTTGGGCCTGAACCACTGACCTTCTGGTTCGCAGTCCAGTGCTCATTGTACAGTGCCACTTCACTCCCCTATACTGAAGAGTCTGGGTTACTTTTTTCTGATGCTTGAAACCCCTGCGTTTCAGAACGTACAGCCCTAAACACATACCTTCCTTATTGCTGTGTGGTGCTGCTGAGTTGGTGCTGACTCAGAGCGACCCTAGAACAGCATATACCTTACCAAGCACAAAATCTACCCCTGTCCCCTCCTTACCCGCAGTCATGTCGTTCATGAGCCTCAGGCAGTTCAGGCCGACAATCTGGGCTGCATCCAACACTGACCGCCTCTCCGCGTCTGTGAAGAAGGAGGGGACCTAGAGAGCAAGAGGCAAGGTGGGGGTGTCACTGATCAAGAAGACAGACACCCCCAACCGTCAGCCAAGTGGGTGCTTGGACAAATCACAACACTGGAACAGGGCTCCAGCCCAACCCTTCCACGGTCCGCAACAAGAGTGCCCCCCAACTAATTACAGTATCAAAAGCAACCGTTACTAAACACAAACTTTCAACTGCAGTTAAAATGTATCAAGAAAACTCACAAAACATGTCGGAAGTGACTTAAACCCAACAGCAGACACAAACGGAACCAGAACTACTTGATAAGGAAAGAATGTCAACAGGTTCAAAGAAAAGATCAAGGAAATGATAAAAGAACACACTGACTAAGCGAACGAAAAATTGGAACCATATACAAACATCAGTTAGGAAGGCAGAAGATGAACACTAAGACTTCAGCGATAGACAATGCATGAGAGGGCCAGGAAGAACTGATCAATGGCAGACCCAACCAGCTGCACTTAAAGACAAATCTCTCCACACTCATCTTCAAGAGGAACAATCAGAAAAGAATTTAAAAACTCAAAGAAAGCCTAAGATTTATGTGGGCCACTATCAAAAGGAATATCTTAACATGTGACTGAGATTCCAGAAAAGGAAGAGGAAAACATAACCATACAGAAAACTGTCCAAAAGTTGCTGGAAGGAAACTTTGTTAACATCACAAAAGATAAGATAACCATTCAAGAAGTTAGGCTCCAAATAGGATACACCCCAAAAGAAAGTCACCAAGACATACTGAAACCAAACTTTGCAAAACCAAAGACAAGGAAAAAATTCTGAGAGCAGCTCGGGAAAAACGAAGTTACCTACAAAGGAGTACCAGTAAGACTAAGCTCTGATTTCTCAGCAGAAACCACAGAGGCAAGAAGAGAATGGGCCAACATATATAAACAATTCTGCAAAGAAAAACTGCCAACCAAGAATCACATAACCAGCATAATTGTCCATCAAGTATGATGGCGAAATTAGGATATTTCCAGATAAGCAAAAACTAAACAAATTTGCAAAAACCAGACCAACCTTACAAAAAAAGACTAAAGGAGTTCCTTGGACTGAGAACCAACAGCATCAGACAACAACCAGAGATGAACATACATGGCAGGATCACCCAGAACTCAACCCATATATGCCTTGTTGTTGTTATGTGCCATCGAGTCATTTCTGACTCATAACTACTCTGTATAGAGTTTCCAAGGAGTGACTAGCGGGTTTGAACCGCCAACTTAGTGGCTCAAATGGACTTTTTGATCTGGTGCTTTATCCCGCAGCACCACACCAGGGCTCCAAAACAAACCTTTGGTTTTGTTACGTGCCATCAGTCAGTTCCGACTCACAGTGACCCTGTATAGGTGAATCTGAACCACCGACCTTTCGGTTCAAACCGACCTTGTGATCCAGTGCACTATCCCACAGCGCCACACCAGGACTCCAAATCTAAAAGACTGAAAATTGGTAACCAGAGATACCAATCTGCTACAATAACACATAAAGTCAAAAAAGGGAGTAATTACAGAACTTCAAATGAAGGGAAAATCAGATTTCAGAGAAATTACAAAACAGATCTGTTACCCTAAAACTAGACCAAGTCTTAGTCCTAACCCTAGCTCAAATCCTAACCAAAAATGAAATCCTAGTTAGACATAGTCCTAACTGAACTCCTACCCATCCCTACACACACACACACACACACACACACACACACGTGAAAAATAAACAAGAAAAAAAGAGTCTCTGCCTTCCCGTCTTTTCTACGAGTCCTTCTGCCTGCATTTCCTTACCTGCCAGGAACCACAGTAGAAAGGTCGGGCTGCTGTGGGCAGACACTGCCAAGAGCACACTGCAGCCCAAGCCAGGGTGGCAGAGAAGCCTGGTAGGGAGCATGTGGTACCACACACAGATCTAAACCCACGTGACCTGAGAGCTGAGCAGGCAGAGGTGGCCACCCGGCTTGTGACCGTCCACCAGCAGTACTGCAGGACCGGATGCTGTGGGCACTCCTCGCCATGACTGCTCTTTTACTTTACTGTGTGATGTGAGCAGGTCATCAGTGTCACATTCAACATCCGTCCACATTGCGCTCCATGTCATTGGACGCAGTCCCCACAAGGTAACAATCACTCCCTGGTTGCATTTCCACGCCTTTCACTCCTAACCCTTCTGAACTCTGTTCCTGGGAAAACGCTGCCCTTTGGATCTCAGGTAGGTGACTGTTGTAAGGAGTGTGACGTCCCTAGTGTCACTGGCGACGGGGGTGAGTGCGTTTCTAGACTGGAAGGCTGACTCGGGTTCCAGGCGGCTCTCTCCGACCACGAAGCCTGGTTGTCTCTCACCTGCACGGCTTCTCCGCAACCAAGCTGCGGGCAGTGCATCAGCGAGCGGCAATACTCTCCTCAGAGATGACAGGACACTTTGTAGTTCCTAAAGGCCTCACAGGAGGTTTCTGATGTCATTTTTTGGCGAAAATCCTTTGCCACTCCCCCTCCTTAGGTACACACTCCTGACACTGTGCTAACACAGCAGCAGAACGCCTGTCCCCAGAACCACAGGACTGTTTCCACAGGTTTGCCACCTCAAAGAGTAGCAAAATGGAGGGGATTTATCACAAACAGTCTCGCTGCACTCTACTTACTGAAATGACACAGTCTGTCACTGGTTTCTTCAGATTGTTCTCAGCAGTCTCCTTTAACTTGGTCAGCAGCATGGCTGAAATCTGCTCCACACTGAACAGATGTTCTTCGTCCATATACATGACCTACAGCAAGAGGGGAGAATTCGGTCACACAGCCCTCCATCGTACAAGCCAGTACTGACTTCTAGATCAGACCACATGTTCTCTCCCAGACACGACTGGGAAAGGAAAACAGCGTGTCCCTAAACAAGCAGGAGGAAAGGTTGGGCCGCAGACTGCAGCAGGTAGTAAGTTTCCACTCTCCCTGACCAGATGCAATCAGAGAAGTAGGATTCTGTGTGGGTCACAAGACCAGAACGCCTGTGAGTTTTAAAGAAAGATTTCTGGGTGTGTCCCACCGCTGTGCTCCAGACTGCCACTGCGCCACCTGGGGAGCTACACAACTGAAGGTGAAGACGGAAAAACACTATCCAATCTGCCTGATTCTTCCAATATTCAGAAAGCTGCAAGGAATGCAAATTAGGTCACAGAAGCACATGGGGGAGGGGGGGCTTCAAAGAGCTTGTGAAAAAGTCCATTACGTTTATGTTCCTTTTTTCCATGAATTTTCTGAAGCCCCCTAGTAGATATTATCCTCGAATCATTTTGAAAGACAATTTGGGCAAACATTTGGTACACTTCCAAGTTTATACAGCAGCCGGCCGGAGACTATGTTAAGAATAAAAAGACCACCTTGTCCATCTAAGAAAAGTCAGGTACATACACAGCAGCTCCACGTAGGTGAACGAAACACAAGCCAAGCAGTGGGTTCCCACTCCCGGCGAACCCCTGGGTTAGAGCAGACGGCTCCGTGGAAGGATTGCCAGACCTTTCTGCTACAGCACCGCTGGGTGACTCTGAATCACCAACCCTTCAATTAGTAGTGGAGCACAACCAACTGATTTCCTAGGGAAAGTCATGATGTTTCCCTGAAGGCAAGTTCAACAGTGTCCCCAATTAAGGAACTTACCAAACCCAGTGCTGAGAAGTCAACCTGCAGGACAGGAGCCAACTCCTTCACCATTCCCAGCCCCCGCCCACCTCTGCAGAAGAGAAGGCTGCTCAACTACATTACCTTGATTCCAACACCGCCATTTTTCATTGGAACCAAATCGTAACTTAAATTCCCCTTCTCCCTCTGAATGAAGGGGTCGCTGAAGGCCCGGCCATGAAACCTCTTGAAGTTGGAGACTGTGTTGTTTGCATGAGTGATTTGCTGCAAAAGAAAGGCAAGACTTTTCATTTCTCTCCGATTTCAACATGCAGTCCTCAGTATTGAATACTTTTATATAGTTCCTTGCTCAATTCATAAAAACACAAACTTTCCCTGGAGCGCTGGACTTTTCCCTTCTGAAGAATGAACGTTATGCTTTAGAATGCACCAGAAGGGACGCTGTGTGAACCAGAGGCAACAAGGTCACAGGGCCTTTAAAACAGTCTGCAGAATGCTCAGAGACTCAGAGACTGTGAGATAGGACCAAGTTTCTCAAGTGCCCCAGACAGTTTCACTTTATGGCGTTCCTTTCTTTCTTCCTGCACTTCACTCTTAAAAGTTTACCATGGATGAATGAGGTCCACTTGTGTAAGGTGCGCACTTCTACCGGCTAGTAATGGCTCAGTGGCCAGGACAAACACATCAACAGCTACTTTTCCACCAACAGAATAGAACGTGCTAAATGAGCCGTACCCAGAGGGGAAGAGTCAAGAGGCCTTGATGTCCCCAGTCGTGGAGTCAACCTCTACTCATGCTACCCTGTGGACAGTGGAACTGCTCCTTAGCACTCCTGAGAACTGTCCGCCGCCTTTATGGGCACCAACAGTCTCGTCTTTCTCCTGAGGAGATCCGCATCTGCATGCTGTGCCACGAGGACTTGATGCCTTCTCAGGACGCCAGCGATCGAGCGGGTGTGAAATAAGGCTCTCTCCCTGGCCTGGGCAGTTGCTGTGAGCAAGCTACTGCCAAGTGCACAGCAGTCTCCCCCCTCAGCCCCAAACACCACACTAAGCAGAAAGAGGGTTGGGTTTCATATTCAAGAACACAACAATACCCAAAATGCTTAGTTTTTTTTGTTTTGTTTTGGTTTTGGTTTTAATCCACTGCTTTGGCCAAATAGATTAGGTGAGCTCCAAATTAATAAAGTCCCATTACTGAGACTGCTTTACTCAAAGTTGTCAGTGAGAACCTTGTTTAATAATTAAAACAAAAGAACCAAAGAATATGTGAAGTTATTCGCTTGAAAATACCAAAAGTGACTTTTGCCTCTGGTCTACCGAGCTTGATACAGTAGGGTCCTGGCGTGGCACTGTAGGGTGAGCACTAAACTGCTAACAGCCAGTTTGGCAGTTCAAACTCCCCAGGTGCTCGCTGGCAACCCTCAACAGGAATGCTATGTGGCGGCACTTAACAAGTAGAGTTTTAAACATGCTTATAAGGTCAAATGTCTTACGATCTAAAAACCAAAAAGAAGTCAGCCTCGTCATCCAGGAATGCTACGTGGCGGCACTTAACAAGTAGGGTATTAAGCATGTTTAAAAGTCAAATGTCTTGCTATCTAAAAATCAAAAAGAAGTCAGCCTCATCATCCAGAGGCCTGATGGGAGGCTCCCCACCTCCTCCTACCAGCACAGAGATCTAACCTGAGGGAGACGGTTCTCTCCTGGTGGAACCGACTCCTCTCCTCCCCAACTGTCTCTTCACCTAACTAGCCAGCTACAATGGTGGTGGCAGCTATGTGCCGCGGAGTAGATTTTAACTTAGAGTGAGCCTGCACGGGGTTTTTGAGGCCGTAATCTTTACGGGAGCAGAGGGCTTCAGTTGTCTCCTGTGGAGTGGCTGCAATTAGCAGCCCAACGGATACCACATTCTGTTATCAGGGCTCCGTAAGGAGCTATGTTGTTGTTGTTGTTGTTAAGTGCCATCGAGTCCATTCCGACCCATAAACGACCCAGTATTGGGTTTCCAAGGAGCAGCTGGTGAGCTTGAACTACCAATCTTGCAGTTTAACGACTTTACAGTCTGATGCATTCGCCCACAGGGTCACACCAGAAGGCAGTTATTAAACATAGGTTTTGTTCTTTCTGCACAGTATTTTCTGTATTTATAAGAAAATGCTCAATGTCTAACTGAAAAACCTCTAAAGATGCATTAAATAATAATAATAATAAAAACTCATTTATTTTCCTCCCCATCCCAGAAGACCTAGGCCTATGAGGTTCAACAGCACTATAGTGTGGCCCCAAACATGTGACTCATGCTTGTAAATTTCATTTTATAGTTATCCATTTAAAAAATAACAACTGAAACAGATGAAATTCATTTCAATAACTCAATTAGCTGAATATGAGGTTTCAAAAGTTTGTGGAAAAATTCCTTTCTCCCCATGGACTTTTTGAAGGCTCCTCATATATCCACAATACCACCATTTCACTTTGTAATCAATAAAAAACCTGAGGAGACATTGCACTTTTTTTAAATCTCATCTTAAGTCTCAAGTTACTACGGCAGGCGTACTGCCTGCATCCTCTCAAACCAGCCCCACTGCAAGTGTGTAGTAAAGACATGTGGTTGCCGGTAGCCATCCAGACAGAGGACAGGATGTTTTCCAACTGTGACCTAATGATGAAGGAACCGGAAGAAGTTGTAAATCCTTCTATAAAAAGATCCGTCATGCTGTGTTATCATCAAAAACGTCACAACAAAGAACGTCTACGATTTTAATTATATGTTTTAAAATTAGGTTAATAAATTTGAAAGTAAGTCATGTTCCTCAAAATTAAGGTGGGCAGATGACAAAGTGGGTCTCAGTCAATAAATCCAGAAAGGGAACCGCAGGGAAAACCTGATGCACAGGTGCAGTGTATTTCTCATAGGGAAACAGGCCATGTAAAAGTCGCGTAGTACATGTCTGAGGCGGGACTCTGGAGATGCCCTCACAGAACTCCTGCCCAGAACATACCTGGTTTTTAGCTGCAACTCCAATCGTCCTGTTCTTTGATCCAAAGGATATGACTGCCCTGGAGAAAACAAACCACACATCAGAAAGGTGTCAAAAAGCGTACGCGTATATATTTATAACCCACAAATGGAGAATGTGAACATAAATTGCCTACCTGTTGTGGGGAGTACAGCTTTGGTCAGATACAAACAGGAAGACCCCTAACTGTCTCCCGCTGTCCCCTTCCCCCCCACCACACACACACCAATTTACTTACCAACTGTTGCTCTGAGAATCTAACCAAGGCAGATTGGATTCTCAATAAAAAACCACTCAGGATGAAATCTGCTTGTGTCTGAGGGTACATTTCCCATATTTCATTAGGGTAATCTGCTACACAAGACCTTTTTAAAGTGTCAAAGAGCAGAGATGTCAGCTTGCGGACTAAGGTTTGCCTGTCCCAAGCCATGGTATTTTCAATAACCTCATATGTATGCGAAAGCTGGACGGTGAATAAGGAAGACCACAGAAGAATTGATGCTTTTGAGTTATGGTGTTGGAGGAGAATATTGAAAGTGCCATGGACTGCCAAAAGAACCAATAGATCTGTTTTGGAAGAAGTGCAGCCAGAGTGCTCCTTGGAGGCCAAGATGGCCAAACTTAGTCTCTCATACTTCAGACATATTGTCAGGAGGGACCAGTCACTGGAGAAGGATATCATGTTTGGTAAGGTGGAAGGTCAGAGAAAAAGAGGAAGTCTCCCAATGAGATGGATTGGCCAAGCGGCAGCATTGATGGACTCAAGTGTGGCAACAGTAGTGAGGTTGGCCCAGGACCGGATAGTGTTTTGTTCTGTTGTGCATAGGGTCGCGATGAGTCAGTACCGACTTGATGGCACCTAACAAGACCACCACCACCTCAAGTACCCGTGCCATTCCTCAAACCTCAAAGCACTGCACGCTGGTGGCACACTGGTTAATCACACAGTCAGTTCAAACCCACCAGCCAGTCCGTGGTAGAAAGATGAGGCTCTTGGAAACTCTGGGGAAGTTCGTCTCTGTCCTTTAGGGTCACTATGAGTCACAATCAACGTGGCAGCCGTGGGTCTGGTGGTTTTGGGGCCACTCACTGTCATAGTACTTAAAATTTGGCCCCAGACACAAACACTTAACCAGCAAAAATATGTTTACCAGGAACTCTGTACAAACACAAATGTTCTGATCACCCCTCTCACTGCCTATCTCTTGTTGTGAAGCGCTGTCTCGTAGCCCTGTATAGGGTTTTCAAGGCAAAACCTGAGGTTAGCAAACTAGTGCTTATCCTACGCGCCACACAGGCCTCTGTGTCTTTAGTTTCCAAGTTCCCCTGGAAACCCCACCCAGCAGTTCCCCAGGGCCCAAGAGGCTCTTTGTTGGCCAAGAACCACCAAAGGCAGAGTTTATAAACAGAGATGGAAGGAGTGAAGAACCCACTACACCACACCGACTCACAGCGCCCCTCTAGAACAGCGCAGAGCTGCGACCCCAGGGTTACCAGGCCCATCAATCTCTATGGGAGCAGACTGCCTCATCTTTCTCCCCAGGAGCAGCCACAGACCTTTCAATTAGGAATTCAACCTGTGCACTCAAAATCAAAGCAAACTCACTGCTGACTCACAGTGACCCTGTAGAGACAGGGTTTCCAAGGCTATAGATCTCTACGGGAGCCGTGACAGACAAGCACAAGATGAGTTTAGGGAGGAAGGAGGGAGGGAGTCCACTGAGTTTTCGATTAGGAAGGCGAGGAAGACTCATGGTAAATGAGATGAACAAAATCCCAAAAGGCTAAGGGCGACATTCAATACCATTAGGAACCTGACACCAGAATCAAGTTGAGATGTGCTCTAACGAGATCCTGAAGATGTGAGCAAGTGCTAAATCAGCATTCTAGAAGTTCAGAGGCTAGACCTTTAAAACGTGTTCTACGTTCATTCAGAGAGAAACCCTGCACTTTGGGCAAAGTGACTCATTTGAGGAACGGAAATCAGATTGTTTGCCAAAGCAATTAAGTTAAACACCTATTTTATTAAACTCATCAGTTGTTGTTGTTAAGTGCCATGGAGTCAGTTCCAACTCATAGCAACCCTGTATAGGGTTTCCGAGGAGCAGCTGGTGGGTTTGAACTGACCTTGTGGTTTGCAGTCCACCTAGCTCACTGCTGTCGGTTCTGACTCAGGGGCCCTATGGGACAGGGTAGAAATACCCCATACAGTTTCCGAGCTTGTCATCTTTATAGTAGCTGCCTGTCTAATCGTTCTACCAGGTAGCAGCTGGTGGATTTGAGCCACAAATCTTGTGGTTAGCAGCCCAACACTTGACCCACAGCGCTACTGGGGCTCCTTTACATTCACAGAGTGGACACTTTATCCATGCGACTTTCCCCCTATTCTCCTCTGACCCATCGGGCCCTGGGCGGCAGAACCAGGGCCCTGTCTGCCCTGGGAAGGGTTTCCAGTCCGGGGAGACCCCACGGGCACTTCTACCTTGTCCTATTGGGTCGCTGTCAGGCCGAATCAACCCCATAGTAATGGGTTGGGTTTGATTTTATTTTTCTGCTCTGAACAGCTCGTCTTCCCTTTTTTAAAAAAAAATTACATGGGATCAAAGAACAAAGGTGTAAAGGACACTCGGCCTGAAAGCCTGAGCGGCCGGCTCGCTTCTTCCTACGCTCCAATTACAGAGGCCTCAGCACAGAAGCCAAGAAACAGGCTGTGGACTTGCAAGGAGACAGACGCAGGAAGCGCTGAGGCCAATCCAGGGCTCCCCCAGACTACCTTCGCTCTGCACTCCCACCATGCTTGGAGCCGGTTCCTCTCCATCCCTGCTCACAGTCCACCCCACGCGCCTGCCTACCAGCACCCTCAGTCCTCTTTCCTGAGCAGCAGCGCCGCTCAACTCCTCCAGACCCTCGTGAGCAACGCACCCCCAAAGTTGCCTTTGAAAATGGGGTCCTGTCGACTATGCCACCCAATACAGCCACCAGCGCGCATCCCCGGGAGAAGCGGAATTGTAATCCTCTCACCCCAAGTATGGGATTCCTATCACATGCAAGATTCATTTACAAAATAAATGACGGTCCCCTTCATCCGATTCACAATCAACAGTGGAAACATAAAGGCCCACTGCACGATTCCGCACGGATGGCTCGCACGCGATCCCGGGAAGTGGGTAAGAGGGCGGGCGATGGGGATGTGCGAGCGACACGGAGGTTTCTGGAAGGTTCCAGAGCACTGGGAGACTCACAATGCGGAGGGGAAAGGAGGCCGCCCACCCAGAGGAGCCACCCCGGCAGCCTGGGGGTTCCCACTTACGGGGTGCAGCGATCGCTGAACTCGTTGGCGATGGTCTCGATACCCCCGGCCCGGGCCACCGCGACGTAGCAGCTCTGCGAGCCCACGTCCAGCCCCACCACCGCCATGGCCGGTGCGGCCACTCGATCGGCGTTCCTAACCCGATGCGCGGCCCCGAAGCCCGGGCGCGCGACCCGGCAGGCTGCCTGTCAGCCAGGCGACTCCGACGAAAAGGGACGGTGGCGCGGGGCTCCTCGCAGCTTTCTGGAGCTCCGGATGCCTCCCCAGTGGGGATGGACGCTCGCACTCCGGGCCAAAAAAGGGCGGTCCCAGGCCCTCGGTCTTCTATACCGCACTGCCGGGAACTTTCCAGAACCTGCGGCATTTACTCACCGGCGCCTCCACCGGCCCCTCCACGTGCCACTTCCGCTTCCGTCTTCTCGAGCCTTCTCGAAAGATTCCACCCAATGGGGGCCGGGCGCCCCCGAGACTGGCCGCCGTTGCCATGGCAGCCGGAGAACCGCTCCGGCGCCGATGGCTGACGCAAGCCTCGGCGACCCGCCCCCGTCTCCGCCTCCGGCCGCCTTGGCCAGAGGCTCCTTGCTGTCCTAATGACAAGGCAGTGAATGAGGAATGACTTGTAAACCCGTAACATTGCTAATTTGTCAATGGGCAGACCCAAAGGGAGGCAGAGCGGGAGGAGAAAGAACCCAATTTCTGCAGGGACGCGAGCGAGGCCGAGCTGGTGCCCGCAGAGCATTTCGGGCGTTGTAGTCCAGCTGAGAGGCTTTGTGCGCCTGGCGGGCTGGGATGTGTAGTCCCGGCCGCGGCGCATGCTGGGACGCGGCTTTGTCTTAGCGACTCGCCTGGTCTCCCAGGCTTTCGCTGGTATATTTGCTCTGTGTTACTAGTGAAGGAGCTAGAATTACTGTTCCCTTGATTCTTTTTTTTAATTGTCTTCTTTTATTGTCTAGATTACTCTGATAACTGATACATGATGGCTTTCAAGAAGGAATGCCAGTTTGTGTGTAAAGTGTTTTTGTATTCATCAGACTTAAGGATAGTCCTTTGTAGGATAAAATGTCATTATTGTTTTTCTGTTTTGAAGAAAGCGGCTTCTAAATGGGTCGACTTTTTGGAAGGCTGTAGTACCATTTGCTGCTTATTTTTAACAATCTGGACGAACCTCAGCAGTTACAGCAGATCTATCCTACCCTGCCTCTCTCCAAGCCATAAATGCATTTGCTTCTTGTCTGATCTGAAACAGCTCTTGTTTCTTTCCCTGAGAAGGGATGTCCCTATTTATTTTCAGTAAAGAGACAAGTGAACAAAAAAAACTGTGGACCTCGATCGCTGATGTTCCTAAGTGCCATGAAATAGGTTCCAAGTCACAGTGACTCTAGGATTTCTGAGGAGCGGCTAGTGAGTTTGAACCACTGACTGTAGTTCTAACCGACCTTGTGGTCCAGTGCTTTATCCTGCAGCGCCACATCAGGACTCCTTTTGTAGACCCTTCTAGAGAATGGTTCTGTAGGGTAAGCTTGGAGTCCTGGTGTGGCACTGTGTATTAATGCACTGGACTGCAAAGACCGTTAGAACCACAAGGTCAGCAGTTCAAGCTCACCATGTCGCTCCTTGAAAACTATGCAGGGTCACTGTGGGTCAGAATCAACTCAATGGCACTTAACAACAAAGAGTAAGCACACAAAGACACAGTTCAAACCCACCAACCTCTCCTTGGAAAACATTATGTCTACAGGAGCTCTGGTAGCATCGTGGTTATGAATCGGGCTGTGAACCGCAAGGTCAACAGTTCAAAACTACCAGCTATTTCAGGGGAGAAAGATGAAGCTTTCTGCTCCTGTAAAAATATACAGCCTTGGAAACCCTGTGTAGGGTCACTATGAGTAGGAACCGACTCCACGGCACATAACCAACAAACCAACCACAGGGTCACTATGAGTGGTAACTGACTCTGCAGCACATAACAACAACAACAGGTAAATTCTATTAAGCATCCCTGGTGACACAATGAAGTAATATGGTGAAACTTTGGCTGCTGCTACACCAACAAAACCCACCCAATAGCTCCGTGGGAGAAAGGCCTGGTGACCCACTTCCACCAAGATGAAACGCTATCGCTGTGAAATCAGAAGCCCTGGTGGTGTCATGGTTAAGGTCTTCACTTACAGGAGAAAGAAGAGATGTCTGCTTCGGTAAAGACTGCAACCTTGGAACCCTGTTACTGTTCAGTGCCTTTTAGCCTGTTCAGTCGGACTCATAGTGGCCTTTATTAGGGTTTCTGAGGAGTGGCTGGTGAGTTTGAACCACCGACCTTGGGGTGGTTTGCCCTTGGGTTCCAGTCACATTGGTACTCCTGGCCCTTATGTTGTTGTCAGGTGCCATCGAGTCGGTACCGACCCATAGCGACCTTATGCACAGCAGAACGAAACACGCCCGATCCTGGGCCAGCCTCACTACTGTTGCCACGCTTGAGTCCATCGATGCTGCCCCTTAGCCATTCCATCTAGCTGGAAGTCTTCCTCTTTTTCTCTGACCCTTCACCTTACCAAACATGATATCCTTCTCCAGTGACTGGATCATAGTGACCCATAGTGACACTCCTGACAATATGTCTGAAGTATGAGAGACGAAGTTTGGCCATCCTGGTCTCCAAGGAGCACTCTGGCTGCACTTCTTCCAAAACAGGTCTATTGGTTCTTCTGGCAGTCCATGGCACTTTCAATATTCTCCTCCAACACCATAACTTAAAAGCATCAATTCTTCTACGGTCTTCCTTATTCGCTGTCCAGCTTTCACATGTATATGAGGCTATTGAAAATACCATGGCTTGGGTCAGGCTCACCTTAGTCCTCAAGCTGACATCTTTACTCTTCTGCAGCAGATTTGCCTAATGCAATACGTCATCTGATTTCTTGACTGTTGCTTCTGTGAGTGTCGATAGTTGATCCAAGAAGAATGAAGTCTTTGACAACTTCAATCTTTTCTCCGTTGATCAGAATGTTGTTTATTGGTCCAGTGGTGAGGATTTTTGTTTTCTTGACATTGAGATGTAATCCAAACCGAAGGCTGTGCTCTTTGATCTTTATCAGTAAATGTTTTAGGACAGTTCAAACCCTGAAGCCAACCTTTCAGTTAGCAGCTGACTGCTTGTGGGGCAGTTTTACTTGTATCACATGGGGTCACTGTGAGTTGAAATGGGTTCCATGGCACACACCCCCACCCCCGCAAGAAGAAATAGATTCGATGGTTTGCCTTTTTTGAAAGTTTGCCTGAGAGTGTTGTGCTTACGTGTGCAATTGTGTGCAATGGGAGTTGTGACCTAAAAGTGTGGTGTTTAGGAGTCTTTCTCAGCATGGACCTGAGGACCAGGGCCAAGACAACAAGCATGGCCCATCCAGGAAGTGGGGGATGCCTTCCTGCCCGGATGTGGTTTCTCAAGATGGCTTTTTGCCCTAAGAAAGCATGTTAACTCCTCCTTGTTCAACAAAAGCATACATGAAATCAGAGGCAAGGCTAGAGGCCCAGGTTTACGTTACATGTAAAATAAATCATATGTCCTTTTGATGGTTGGCGTCCTGTGTAAACACATGGCTTCACTTTGACATTAATTCAACTTTAAAATGGGGGGCGGGCAGTCAGACTAGCAAGCTGCTTCAGGGTTGTTTTCTTACATATGATCTAAAACCAAAACTAAACCCACTGCCAAGCTGATTCCGATGGCGTTCTTGATTCTGCCACCAAGAAAGAAGAGCCAGCCGTGGAGTGTGTCCTTTGAACCTGGGGTCCCTGTGAATCTTCCAAATTCAGGGACAATCTGATGCTGAGAGTCATGTAGAGCTCCAGGGACTGCTGGGCCACCGATGCTGAGAGGACACAGGACCTTTCTCCAGAGCCAGGGCTCAGAATTTGGGCTTCTAGCTTCCCAAACTCTGAGAGAATTCATTTTTGTTTGCTAAAGAAAACACAAAGGCACTCTGGTAGCGTAGTGGTTACGAATTGGGCTGCGAACCTCAAGGTCAGCAGTTTGAAACTACCATCTGTTCCGCGGGAAAAAGATGAGACTTTCTGCTCCCGTAAAGATTTACAGCCTTGGAAACCCTGTACAGGGTCACTATGGGTCGGAACCGACTCGACGGCACATAACAACAACAACAACAACAAAGAAAACACACATATACACAAGTTTATCTCAGGGGTTGCTCCAGCCTCCATGACTCCGGAAAATCCCCAGTATTATTTCATCACGCATGATGTGTCAGCTAAGTGGATTGTTATTCAGCAGATGTGGGTAGCATGAACTAGTCACCCCACTGAAAATTTCCCTGAGTCAGACTAGCCTGTGTATTCGTGTATTCAGTCACCACCTACTTTTGAAATTCCTCTCCTGGGAAGTCATAATGCAAAAATGTGACAGTTGAGTGATTGTTATCAACAAAGTTATTCCTATGATTTTTGTCTAGCTGCTGGAGGGAGGAACTCAGAGAGGTGGAAGATGGAAGACTGCAGGAAGGTGTGGAGTGAAGCCAAGGGTTTTAGGACACGTCTCTGTTCGGTCACATTTTAACTGTATGCCTCTGGGAAGTTGCCTCAGCTCTCCACCCTCCATGTTTTCATCTTCAAAATGAGGGTACAACATTCTGTAGTCAACCAACACGTCCACTTCTCCGGGTCATTGGATGGTACCCCTTTGTCCAGTTCTCACCACAACATGGTAAGGCATCTAGACCATAGGTCCTCTACAAGGCTATCTGACCTCCTTGTTCTTCATTCAACAAACATAGAGTGCCTGTTGTGTCCCAAGACGAAATCAAGACCAGGCTTCAGCGTCTTCAGTCTGGCTGAGGTCAGTCTTTGTGAGCAGGGCAAAGCGATCAAGTGGGACTCTCCGCCATGTTGGTCCCTGTGTAATACTCGCATCTCCTTTCTGGTGTACAGAAAACAGGAACCCTAGCAAGGTGAATGTTTCCTCTTTGCCACCCAGGGGAGCCAAAGACTTATGGGAGCCTCACATAAAGTTAAGAGCCAGGGCGGGACAGCAGATTTCAGTGCAACTTATTATAGTCACCATGGTGGCACACTGGGTTAAGTGTTGGCTACTAATTTC